TTATATATTTTTGTTATATTATTAAACAAAAAGACACATTACTTAGAACTCGAATATCGTTATATTCAGCTTTAAGTTTGCTTCTTCTAGGTAAAAGCAAAATTCGGTCATCTGCTGTGTCCATAAACTTACCGCTGTCCCACTGTGGGACGGATTTGAGTTTTAAAAGTTATGAGGGTATTAAAGGCGTATTGGAATGATATTGTTCTTGAGGATAGCCTATTGTATTTGACGATTTGAAAATTGTTAAAGTAATTTTAGAGACTAATTTTATAGTAATTTATTAACACCCTTCGTACGAACCAGGGTAACAGATAACTGCGAGTCGTTGTTGCTGTTGTTTGTTTAAGCAAAGCCACATCTGCTGTTTCCATCGCATGGAATCGAACCCCGGATTTTAGCGTTTTAAGTCAATGGACCTATCCCTGTCCTACCGGATGACTTGAAGGATATTGAAAGAAGTTCATCGGTGACTTCTCTTTCAGAAAAATAATAAAAATCCATTTATATGACAATATGTATGTGGATCTACCGAAAATTTGAGAATATACTAGAATCTGTAGGTATAACACACAGAAAGGAAGGAAGGATGTCATATTTTACAAACCGTTCCGGTAATTTGTTAGTGTTTTATCGCAGTCACCTTTGTCTTAATTTGTTTATTCATTGGGAAACCTGGCTCTTCAACAGAGTGATTTCACCTTCAAAAATTCTGTGAGTTTGACGTTACCTTGTTACTGGACAAATAAAAGACTGATAACATCTCCTAGCAACCACATTGGAACATTTCCAGGTTTCCCGATAATTATCTATCAAAAAAAAATTTTTTTTCGTAGTTCAGCTTTGGAAGGAATGTTAACTCGATTTGGATATCTTTGGATGAAATCCTCTATCATTTTTCCAGGACGCATTTATAAATCTTCAAAACATCTATAATCTTAGGATAGATTTGACCATGTACTGGCCTCAGAGCCTAACTAACTTTGAAATGTACTGTGGCATATTATGAAGTATTGTCTTGCCATTCAACAGAATCCGACACTGGCTTGTTACCATCTACGTCAGAAGTCACATGACAATCAAGAAAGGCCACTTCATATAAATCAATTAGGTCATTCGGATATCGGATACCGCACTACACAGTATCATGCTGATGTCTTTCAGGTTGACACACATGAAGTATCTTAAAATTCTCAGATTTGAAGCGCTTGTGGCTTGCAAAGTAATTATTTATATCCTCAGGCTCCTGAGCGAAACTGTCTAAAGGAATGACGTTCCAGAACTGATGTCGGTTCTCTCTGTGGGACTTTCCTTAACTTTCCAATCCCCTTGACTGCTACTAAAGGTCAAGCCAGTAATACTACCTGTAATTTCGTTACAAGTTATCAATTCGTCTGTGTCTTCATCCTCTTCGTCAGCCACTATGTCTTCAGCGTCAACATCGTCGTCTTCATCTTCTTCAGGCAGTGCATCCTCGTCACTATCGCTGTGCTCAGACCTCATTTTGGCGTCTTCCTTTTCTGTTTCACCAGCAGGTTTGTCTTTGTTTGTTTCTCTATGTGCAGACACACTGTCAACTGTCTTTAACACTGTGCCTGAATTCTCAAATTATCTCAATACTATTTGGAGATAAGATGTTCTCATTAATTTACAGTACACTATCATTTGTACATTTGTAGACTTCTTCGTGTAGTGAAACCAGCTCATTTACTTTTCATCGGGTCACAGTAAACAAGGAAAGAGCTGTGTTCTTTAGACCTCCCCTTTTATTTTTAAATGCACAAATCAATTCTTTAGGGGGTACAATGCTGCTTCCCAAATGCACGTATCGCGTGACGTGTTGCATTCGCTACAGAAGAGTACACATCACTTGATTCCTTTGGATGGGAAGAAAAGATCGCATCTGTATCTCCAAATCTTTTGCTATCATTTACATTTCATATAAAAGGTTTCATTGCAATTTGCATTGTCGGACACGAATGTTTTGATAATCCACCCTGTCTTGGTGAAGGACGCACTCATATATGGAGAGCAAGCTTGTCCAATCTTCCTTAGAATCCCAGATGAAACAGCTTGCTTGAAAAATTCCTGTATCTGCATTGTCACGTGTATACACAATGGTGTCATGCTAAGACAAGCCTTTTTTTCTTTTGTTTCTTATAATGTTCGACAACCTTCTCCCGAAAATAAACTGGGTCGAATTTAATCTTATAGATCAATACAATTGGAGCTTCGAAACTGGCTAAATTGTACATCAGTGTCTTGATTCATTACTCAGATGCGATAATCTATATATACAGCTTGAACGTACCCCCTGTAGTCGTTCAGTAAATTATGACGTTCTTCCTCTGTCTCAGTCTTCATAAGTTCAAGATCTTCACAAGCCAGTTGACACAGCTTGAACGTATTATTCATATTTGTTGCATCCACTTTACCATTGTTGGTTGCAACATCATGACTGTTACCATTTGTTGTCACGTGTGGTCTTCAGAAGTCATTCATTCTTCCAAGATGTTTCCACATTCTCCTGCCATCTGCCGGCCACGAATAGACTCAATTACTCTCTCAAGTACAGTTAAATTATCGTCCAGAAGGATATCCGACGTACAATCGACAGCCTTACTTGCTTTCATATCATAATCCGTCAATTATTTTGCAGTTTTCATAAATGATGAATAACCTATATGACCCAGTCTTTCCGGATATTCAGTGATGTAGTCCACTTAGATAACCTATATGACCCAGTCTTTCCGGATATTCAGTGAGGTAGTCCACTTAGATAACCTATATGACCCAGTCTTTCCGGATATTCAGTGAGGTAGTCCCCTTAGATAACCTATATGACCCAGTCTTTCTGGATATTCAGTGAGGTAGTCCCCTTAGATAACCTATATGACCCAGTTTCTCCGGATATTCAGTGAGGTAGTCCCCTTAGATAACCTATATGACCCAGTCTTTCCGGATATTCAGTGAGGTAGTCCCCTTAGATAACCTATATGACCCAGTCTCTCCGGATATTCAGTGAGGTAGTCCCCTTAGATAACCTATATGACCCAGTTTCTCCGGATATTCAGTGAGGTAGTCCCCTTAGATAACCTATATGACCCAGTCTTTCTGGATATTCAGTGAAGTAGTCCCCTTAGATGTACTCCATTGTAAGTGTTTCAACCATGGTAGGCGTTTCAACCGTGGTAGTTTGGCAACCATAGTAGGTGTGTCAATCGTGGTAGTTGTTTCAACCATGTTAGGTGTGTCAATCGTAGTAGTTGTTTCAACCATGTTAGGTGTGTCAGTCATGGTAGTTGTTTCAACCATAGTAGGTGTGTCAATCGTGGTAGTTGTTTCAACCATGTTAGGTGTGTCAATCGTGGTAGTTGTTTCAACCATAGTAGGTGTGTCAGTCGTGGTAGGTGTTTCAACCATAGTGGGTGTGTCAATCGTGGTAGTTGTTTCAACCATAGTAGGTGTGTCAGTCGTGGTAGGTGTTTCAACCATAGTAGGTGTGTCAATCGTGGTAGGTGTTTCAGCTGTGATAGGTGTTTCAATCATGGTAGTAGTGTTTCTCCTCACAATCAACATGTACAGTTTTTGCACCGACAACAACAACATTTGAATCCTCTGAGGAGATAAACTTCACAACACGCTCCATCAGATCAGACGTGTCGATGAACAGTTCCTTACCTCTCTTCAGTGAATCGAAACGTTTTCGATTGCTTTACATCGAATATTTCGATGTGTGTAGGTAAAGATGTACATAAAAAGCTAGCAATTTCTTTGTTTGTATTAATTTTTCCATTAAGTTTTCCTGTGCCTGTAATATTTCCGGCTCCAATACCGGAATGACTTGATATTTTCGATCACCAATAATGCAACTGTTATCCAGACTCGTGCGACGGGAGTTTAAATAGTTTTTATATCACGTGGCAAATTAAAGCAGTTTGATAGTCTACTAATTATGAAGGACATCAGACATAACTATACTTTTATTGTTTATTTGGTTTATAATGCGCTCTGTCCACCAACAAGAATCGCACCATGGATTTTCAGCGTTGTAACTCCGTAAAGTTACCGTTAACCCACAGAAGGATTTGCTTTTATAGAAACATGTGATATTATCTACGTTAGATATAGAGAGTCCCGTTTATCGTGTAAAAATAAAATTCCGATGCGTTGCACCAATAACGTTATAGTTTGATTAAATATCGACGCGAAATTTAAAGATGGGATAGGCAGTTATTGTTATATTCTTTTAGACTAATCTATCGGCAGTTATTGTTATATTGTTTCCGACGAATCTTTAGGCAGTTATTGTTATATCATTTTAGACTAATCTACAGGTAGTTATTGTTATATTATTTTAGACTAATCTATAGGCAGTTATTGTTATATTATTTTAGACTAATCTATAGGCAGTTATTGTTATATTGTTTTAGACTAATCTATAGGCAGTTATTGTTATATTCTTTTAGACTAATCTATAGGCAGTTATTGTTATATTGTTTAGACTAATCCTTTGGGATAATGACATTTTGTCAGCGCTTTGGTGTTTAAGTTTTGTTTCAGGAAGTTCCATTCGAACAAACGTGTGGCAGTTAATAATTAGTGTTAACTACTGATCAAAACACACTACTTATATAAAAATATGTTTACCAAAAAGCAAACTTTTAGTGAGTACAGATATTTCCTTCAGAGTGAAGCACTACACAGCGTACCAATAAGTAATTAGAGATAGTATCAAAAGTACAAATCAGTCACCTCCATGACATCGTATGTAAATATAGGCTTAGCTCGTAAAGACCACAAAATGTTATGGCGTCACATAATTGAACGATGGAAGGTTGTTGAAAGTCACAGATTGATCGGTAGGTCATTTCCTGTACTGCTGTACACAGTAGCTACGACAGCAATGCAGTCTCGGCCACTTCAGAAAACACCAGCACGATCCGAGTGCCCAAAACGTAATATGAGAAGTTTCGAGAATGATCCACACCAAATGATACAGAATTTATGTAGTTCACACCCTGAATCCAGTAGTAGAGTAGCTAAATTGAAACACATTTCCACAACCAGGTAATATTGTACACCAAAATGCAATTTCACCAATACTAACGCACTCTACTGCCTTCTAAGAGGTTGTATGTAATTTGTTCCAACTGGTCAAGTTTTGTAAATTATCAGGCAGTGGGTGCGCATAACTTGGTGACTATCATACCAGGATTTTTCTTTTATTTTGCAATGGATACAATCCACGAGAATATACGATGATATTTCTTTTATATTGTGGATACCATCTGGTGAGCTGATTGATCACAGTCGAAGTATGTGAAGGGGCCGTCAGTATTACGTCACACTCTCGAACAAAAGTCTCTATCTGCCTACGTCAAAGACCAGCATGCCAGATAGTGTTTCCAAGCAAGATAGGCACCTGTATATTTAGCTTTAGTCACAAAATGAATTTTGAAGCTTAAGGATTTACCACTCTCCCTGGTCAAGACATATGCTGGATATAAAACCTATCCTTGATTGAGTCGAGACATTTGCCGGATATAAAACCTATCTTTTATTGGGTCAAGACATTTACCGGATATAAAACCTATCTTTAATTGGATCAAGACATTTGCCGGATATAAAACCTATCTTTGATTGGTTCAAGACATTTGCCGGATATAAAACCTATCTTTGATTGGT